TTCGTCCTCTCATTTTCGTAAAAAACACCCCCGGCACGAGAAGGCAGTGAATAGGACTTCCCTGGCAGAGGCTATATACGCGTGGCAGTGAGAGTATTTCGAGAGGGAGGGCAGGCCCACCCCGCTCTCGGCTATACCAGGGCATTTGGGGGCCTTAGAGTGGATCCCAGTAGACAGTCGTTTATGCGCTGTCCGACCGAACGGAACAGTAAGGATCCGAAAAGATAGGGACACTCGTCGTCGCCTCTTCGTCGTCTCTGCCTATTCTCCCACTGACTGCAGCGCAGGTGATGTAAAAGATGAATTTTACAGAAAGATGTCCATTATAGAGGTTTCTACTCGAACACAACTGGTAGAGTGAGAGCTTATGGCGAACTGTCATCAGAATTGATTACCTTAAGTGGTGTTTGTCAGGGCTGCCCACTCTCTCCATTCTTGTTCAACTTTGTCGTCGACGTACTTTTAGAGATTACACTTTCCTCGTCTAGATTTCCAGGAGTTGAACTTCAACCGGGAGGTTCACTTGTTGACTTAGAATATGCCGATGACAGTTCTATTTGATAAAGACGCTGACAAAATACAGTCTTCTGACTACTCTAAGCAACAATGCAAGCATGTTCGGCATGCAATCCTCTCCCTCGAAATGCAAAATGTTGCTTCAGGATTGGGTTGCATCGACACCTGAACTAATGATAGGGAGTGGAGTAGTTGAGCGTGTCGACCTTTCACTTATCTGAGAAGTCTTATCAGCCCTTGTGGACTGGTGTGTGGTGGAATCTCAGCACGGATACAGAAGGCTCGACTAGCTTTTGCCAACTTGCGTCATTTATGGCGTAGGTGAGATATCCGTCTACCAACCAAAGGACGTGTTTACTGCGCAGCAGTCCGTTCCGTCCTACTTTATGGCAGTGAAACATGGCCGGTAAGAGTAGAGGATATTCGTGTTACGTATGCCCAACCACCGACTGCCTCGATGTGCGATGTTTTGTTGTATAGGAGTAGATTGAAAGAAAGCTATGGGCGGCCAGACCAAAACATGGCACAAGTCCATGAAATCACTGACCAGTAGACTGAGTCATATTGGTAGGTGTAGGCTACCTGGTTGGGGACCGCGAGATGATAGCAACCGATGGTTAGAGATCCTGAATGACATGGCTCAAAATCGTTTGCAGTGGTGCAGGTGCATCCACTCTTTGTGTTCTCCCAAATTCTAATCTTCTGAATTCTTCATGTCCTTTTCTTTTTTCTCTTTCCAAATTTATTTCACTGGATTATACTCTTTGAATAACATCTTCAAACCCTAATTTTTCTGATAGCAGCTTATAATTTTACTACATCTAGCACTACGGGATTTGAATCGATCACTGCATCTCTGTGCTAATGTGGTGTGGCAACTCGAACTGATGTACGTACGTACGAAGTTCTACATTGTTACTGACTGACTGACTAACTGAGATGACCTAGCCCTCCTATCGCATACACATGAACAAATGAAGATAAAGACAGCCAGTGTAGCAGCAGTCTCTGCATCAATAGGCCTCAACATACCCAAGGGGAAAACCAAGGTCTTCAAATATAACATGGAGAACAGCAATCCAATCACTCTTGATGACGAAACTCTGGAAGATGTAGAATCCTTCACATACCTGGGAAGCATCATCGATGAACAAGGAGGTTCAGATGCAGACGTAAAGGCGAGGATTGGCAAAACAAGGGCCGCATCCCTACAGTTGAAGAACATATGGGACTCAAAACAACTTTTAACCAATATCAAAGTCAGAATCTTCAATACCAACGTCAAAACAGTTCTACCGTATGGAGCTGAAACTTGGAGAACTACAACAACCACCATCAAGAAGGTACAAGTATTTATAAATAGCTGTCTACCGAAGATACTCAACATCTATTGGCCGGATACCACCAGCAACAGCCTTCTCTGGGAAAGAACAAACCAGCTTCCAGCTGAAGAAATTAGGAAAAGACGATGGAAATGGATAGGACATACATTACGCAAATCATCAAACTGCATCACGAGACAAGCCCTAACTTGGAATCCTGAAGGGAAGCGGAAAAGAGGAAGGCCACAGAACACATTACGTCGGGAAATCGAAGCAGATATGAAAAGGATGAATAATGACTGGAAGGAGCTGGAAAGGATTGCCCGGGACAGGGTTGGATGAAGAATGCTGGTGAGTGGCCTATGCTCCTTCGCGAGAAGTAACAGACGTAGGTAAGTAAGCTAACAATGACAGCGGAAAACCTGCAAGAGAGGGGAGTATGACACAATGAAGAAACTAGAAGAGGACTATTGTAAACAAGAGCAACCAGTCGAGAACAGAGAAGATAAGCCAATCATTGAGATTCAAGAACAGTGGGACAAGTGGGTTAAATACTTTGAGGAACTCTTGAATAGGCTAGTTCTACTAAATTCACAGGAAATCGAGGCAGCACAGAGTCCTTTCCATAGCTGCTACTCCACCAACGATCGAAGAAATCAACACGACCATCAGGCAAATCAAAATTGGGGAAAAATCAGGACCTGGAAACCTATCAGCTGAAGCACTGAAGTCAGAAAGAAATAACTGCAAAGACGCTCCACGTTCTATTTAGGAAGATCTGGGAGGAAGAACAAGTCACGACAGACTATAGAGAAGGACACTTGAAAAGATACCAGGCAACAATCTGAGTAAGTGTGAGAACTACAAAGGAATCACACCATTGTTGATACCAGGAAGTTTTCACGTAGTGTTTAGTAGACGTCCAACTTCGGAATCAACAAGTCTGATTCCGTAAGGATTGGTCGAGCATAAAGCAAATTACAACACTACAGATCGTCGTTGAACATTACACTGAATGGAACTTGTCACTATATGTCAACTTCCTTGACTGTGAGGCGTTTGAGAGCGTGCATAGAACATTATGGAATCTTCGACACTATAGTCTACCTGAGATCGTCAACATCATACGGACTTCATACAACAGACTACACTGCAAAGTGGTGCATGACAGACAGCTGAAAGACGCATTTCATGTAAGGAACGGAGTCGGATAAGGCTGCTTACTCTCCTACTTTCTCTTTCTTTTGGTGGTTGACTGGATTATGAAAAGCTCGACATCTGAAGGGAAGCACGGAGTACAATGGACAGCTCAGCCCAATGTACACTGTAATGACAGAAGAACGGGTTTCTACTAGTTTTATTCAGTATATTTACAGAAACTGGTAACTCCAAAGGTAAAACGGCCTCAATAGTTTGACAGCATGCCGGTGCATGAAGTGCATTTAAGGTGATCAACAAACAACCCAACACAACTATATTAAAACTGATGGAAGCTGCAGTTATCGGAATGCTTAAACCTGATCATTAAAGAGTCAGTAAATAATCTTCAACTGTCTTGGTAACAAAAGTGAACTACACATTTTGACTTGACTATAATCAGTTTGAGCTTAACCAATGTTCAATTTCTTCCCAAATACTCCACTTCCTTGTCACATTGTACAGTAGAATTATCTTGAATATTCCAGAACCACCCCGAGCAATTAAAACTGTTTTACAAAGCGAAAAACTTATTCCTCACTGAAGGACAGTTTACTTTTCAAATTTAATGCTATGGTAAATGACTGAGCTTATTAAATTGTATGTAGCTGAAGACAGCAATGAGGGACAGTGGACTTATAGTATTCTGTAAGTATTGTTGCTCTTTCCGTTTAAATCTTAATTGGTCTAAACTGAGCTTTCTTTTAACACAAACTAGCCCCTATTGCAGTGCGAATGAGTGATATAAAACTCAGCCAACTGATATGCCACTTTTCCTAGTACCTAACACCTAACTGCACAACCAACCAATCGATTGATTTACCACATTAAGTCGATGAGCCTCTGTATTTTAGGATGACGGACTGTGTCACAAAAACACAGACGAAGGTTGAAGATATGATCAACACGCCTATAGCCAGGAGTAAAATTCATTCGACTTTTATTGCTGTCTGCTTTCTATAGATTCCATTATTGCACCAGATGACAATGTAAACGAATATTTCAGAAACTATAGTAATCATTCAGGTTTCTAAGTAGTTGAGATGAAAGAATTTGTCGTACCTAATAGACTGAAACAAAAAACTAACGAGATTATTCGGGTAGAGTTAATCTGAACTTCAAGGTTTTTCCAAATACACTTAGTAGCTTCTCCGATAATTTTAGAGGACCATCCTTAAAGTTTTCGGTGAGACTAATATTTATGGATGACCTTTGAGCAACGCCAGACTGACCTTGAGATTGTTCACCTAGTAACTAGGACCAAATAAGGGTTCCAAACCAGTGTGAGGAATTAGAATTATGATTTACAGTTGATGGTCAATGTTAGGAATTAGATTTGGGGTTTTCACCAGGAAATGACATCAGCCATAATGCTAAAACCCTATTTAGCCAAACGAATGAGTGAACTTTATGCCAAAATCCGACAAACGTCATGTTATGTCTGTCCATAAATTATAGTCCCGCCAGTTTCGTACAACACTGAAGGGAATGTTGTAGGAGAATATGGTCGAGTCATGATAACATTGGAAGAAGTAGGCATCATTCCAGACTTGGAGAATGATTAAGCGAAGTTAGTTATTCATTTTAATAAACATATGATGTGTAGACACTTTAAGTAAGAGAATATGAATTTGTAAGATCTCTAAAATTCCACCACAACATAAGGAGCGAAGTTTTTAAGAACCAATAACCCTTTGTAAATTTATTATGGAAGTCCCGTCCAAGAATAAGTAAATATGATGATCGCTTACTTACAGAAGATACTTAGTCATACAATACACGGCCTACAACGTTAGGACGTTTGTAAATTGCGCTGTGACACGAAGTAGGAGAATCGTAGTAAGCGGGCTAATTTCTAAAATTAATAGTTAGCGAATTTTAGCTTGATTATTTGAAATCATAATTCACTTTTATTTTGATCTTATAACTTTACCTGAAAAGAATTAGTTGTTTTAAACATTACATCCAACACGTTGATTCGTTCCATATAACCCTGTCTTTTCTTATATCAGCTATACGTCTCCTTGCTTTCAACCTATTTGCACTAGGGAGAGATTTGATTGGCTGACTGTATTTTCGTTTTCCTATCCCAGTTGTTCGTCATTTAATCGCTACTTTGATCAATGACCTAGTGCATGTCTGACCTTTCAATATGTTTGATAGACAGCACGCGTGCATTAGGTATCGCTATGTGTTTGTCTTACGATCATCCTTTATGAAGGCTTTCAGGGCTGACTGTTTATATTTGCTTTTGGCAGTGTGCATAGTTTTTTTGTTCAGAGTAATCAAATAGTGTTTAGGAAAAGATTATTTTTCTTTACCACATTCCACATCGGTGAGACCAGTATGCGTTGTCCGTGCTAAACCTCACACCCTTGCTCTGGAAATTTATTGAACCAGTCGAGCAAATTCATATAATAAGGCTGGTGAATTGCGTAATTGTGTGCAGACAGGCGTACACACTAATCCTCAACCGTCAATCTAAACCTGCACACAATCCATTTATCATTTCGATATTTAAAAAATGTTAGGAGTGGAACGTATTTTCCTGTTGGGGTGTGGACTCGTCTTCAGGTTCAATCCTAAATAACCTTCAAATAAGCATAGAACACAATGTCAAAAAACAAAAGTCGATTTTACTCCCTGATGAGTTCCCTACCATTATGCATGAAGCCATATGAGCAGTTTATTCTAGAACTTCAAAAGCTTTCAAGGCATAACAGGTTTGTAACAGGTTCAGTTTTGTTTTATATATCTTCCAGACAAAATGCTGTTTTACAACCGCCCTATCTTTTTGGACACTTAATTGATTTACAAAAGCTGTACAACGAAGTTGCCCTGCGGGGTGGTCACAAACAAGTAAGTCAGAAAACAATCATCTAGTGTTCTTGTTACAGGTTACTTTTTCCCACCTGTGGTTGGAAGTTTATCTAGCCTTAGGTCTGCCACCAGGTTGTGTCGATGCAGGCCATGGATTGCGCACTATTTATCAGAGGTATCTCGAGTTGTTCGAAAGAAACCAACGAATGACGTCAAGAAGCATTTTCACATCCGATGAACAGGATGATGCTGTTACTCACTTTGACGGTGATGCTCAGGTTCGTTTTTACCATTACTGGTGATAAACTTTCTAAAGGATTTCGATCAGTTCCTAAAATCGTCTAAACAAAACATTTATGGGGCTTCTGTTCGTTCTAATACTGAAGAAATACCCAATCACTTGCGAAAAAGTTGGAATTTGAGTATCGATTTAAAAGATGATTTCGAATACATTTCATTAGAAAAATCATTATTGTCAGGGCTTCCTAATGAAATTGAGCTTGCGTTAAACACAATCCTTCTTATGTCTTCTCAACCAAATGACTTCAGTATTAGTAAAAATCCTAGGCTTCTGGATGTTCTGTTATATACTGTTGGCATTTACGGACCAAGTAAGTTCCGATCCTTAAATTCATTATATAGATCCATATTTTATTCCAGAACATGTCACGACGTACCAATACAGCAGATACCTCAATGTAAGTGCTCTATATTTTATTAATCAATTCTAGTTTTGGGAATCAAATATTGACAAAGAGAATGGACGAGTATTTCTTTCTCCCATCGCCTTCTACTCAAGTAAGTTATCAAGAATACCACTGTACCATACTTTTCTGGCGTATTACTGTTTTTAAGTCTTAGATTGTTTCTAAAATCATTTAGTTTATTATCATCTAAAAGCTGTTGTTTGTCCATACAGAATCCAACTAGTTTTATCATCTTATGCTCTTCTCCAATTCTCGGCATTTAGAATATTCCGTTAGATTGGGATAAAGGTATAATGGTAGTCTTGTTACGAAATCAAATGTTGGTCCCTTAACAGTATAATGCTAAATGGTCATGTATGACATTCCTAATTCAATCCTTCGGTATCATTTACTGTCCTATGTACCTCAAACCCAAACGTAACTAATCCATTTTATCTTAAAAGGAACAAATTTAGTAAACCATGAAAACGTTTTTACATCGCCCATTGATATCTGGAAACCAGACCAATATGACTGATTGCATCGTGTGTTGGTGTTTTGTTATTTTCCAATGTTATCACTCAGTATTCAAGCCTTTTGATGAAGCTCCAAGATTTCTGATTCCGAAGACCAAGTACGATTACTGGGGTGATTTAGCATACGATTATGGATGTATTTGGAGAATTGTATGCAGATTCGTTCCATCCTTTACATTTTATCCATTCGGAACAATGAAGTGTTGCATTTTATACTAGTATTCGTTTAACGTGTTTGAATTAGCTATGGTAGATTATTTTTATTAGTTTACGATCATTCGTACATACCTTGGTTTATGCACCTTGCTAGCATCTACTTTATTCATATAGGCTAATTGCATGATCTCGTATTTGACAATATTGTAACCTCACTAACAAGTATTCTTTTACACACTCGACTGTAAGCCACACCATTGGGTTCGCCAAATCGAATGATGGTACACAGCTGTCTGAACCAAAGTTGGTGAAACCAGATTCAAACCGGCTAATCTACTTTTTAAAGTCAGGTGCTTGCTATTTCATCAACCGCTCCATTGTTCGCGTTAGATTATTTGTCTTACTTTTTAACTTGTTAAAGCCTTCCCTACCTGGCCTTGTCAACTTAGTCAACTGTTATTTAGGCATTTACAAGCAATATCAAGTCAACGTTGCAGTGTCAAATAACTAAACATAGCAATTGATTACTTCTAGATAATGACTTTTTAGTTGATCCTCTCTTCTGATTTAATTCTAAGCTGAATATAAACTTTGCTATTACTAAGTAACTTTAATGTGATCGCTTTGGTCCTACAGGTTATACTGCCTGCACCATACACCATATGTTGTATAGCATAGCCTGAATGTCATTCAAAACAGTCAGTGATTTCATCAAATGACTCGACGCTTTGATGAAGCTATCATTTTTTGTTTTAACTCTATTACGCTACATAGTGAACTGAAATCAGCTGTTAATCATGTAGGCTTTCTGGGTAATGCATAAACGTTTTTCAGTGTCGAAAGTGTTATGACCCAAAATCCTCTATATTAGCTGAAAGACATTCAATTTTTCGAATCATAATTTTAGGATGAGTTGGCGCTACCTACATACCGTTCTTTAAGTCTATTCTGAGATGCAGATTTGATTTAATTAAAATAGAAATCAGTTTCTTAGTTTAAATCAATCAATTCACAAACCTGTTAAACGAACAGGTTAGGGAACTAAAACACTCGATATTACGGATTTTTGGCTTGTAATAATTGGCAATCATTGTGTTTAATAAAGTTTATAGAAATGAAGAAATCGCCCCCCCCCTGTTTGGTTTACCAAGTGGTATCAATAACTTTCACACAACATAACTCATATTCAAGTACCTGATGTATGGGTTGTCTTATTAATTTATCCGTAATCGGTCCCCACTACTGAGGAGACCAAGTGACTTAAGATAATTGAACAGTATCACTACCCCTTACATAATTATTGTTTAAGTTTGACTAAACGGACTTGTCCTTCAACGCTCAGGTTACCTACCTTGTCGCATGTCTCCTTTGTTTCCTTACTTTTCATGTAGTTATGTAGAATGTAACAACTTAAAGCGTTTAAGGTAACCTATTAGATAAAGATAGTCTGTTAACTCATTTCTTTTCTCTTCACTGGACAACTATATACATATTGCAATCACTAGATTTCTCTTACAACAACACAATAGTTTCCTTGCTTCACTCGTATTTTGACTTGTTTTGGATTCATAATTTCTCAGGATACCAATATGCGTGTTTGTTGAAAACTATGTGCATCGATACTGTTTCATCCTGCGTATCCTAAATTCTCACTTTCGTTTCATAACTTGTCGAAATAATCATCGTCTCGGTATATGTAAATCTGCATCATCTCAATCGATTTTCCCTCACTCAACTTACTTTGTCCTAATATTAACGTCATTTACATATCTTCAAATAGTAAAGTAAAACTAAACTGTCTGCTTTTCTCAAATTTGCTGTCGATAACTTTTGGTGGCTGGCTCTCATATGGGGCTATTATCCTAAAAAGAATTTTAATTTTAAAAGTACTAACAACATAGACTTGCTTTACAACGAAATATGAGCTACTTCTATCTTATTTCATCAATTATTTATCACTAAGATCTGTAAATGAGCTTCGCACCATCGAATTTTTGAATACTATTGGAAGTCCTACAAGATATATATTCTATGTTTATTGTTAGTGTTTGAAAATAGCTGGGAAATCTGTGCATCAATTGCCCCTGCCTCAATAGACATTCGGATACCTGCGTGCCACACTTTAGTTTAATTGATGATGAATTGTATCCGCCTTTGTTGACTCAACGCCTTAAGTCATTGAAGTATTCGATTCAACCAATCTCTCCTCCCAGTCGTTAATCCAGACATATGTAGAAATCATTCTCTTAAAGTAAAATCAATTCTAGGTAGAAAAAAAGCCTTCACTAAGTAGAATAATTACGTTTAAGTATTGTACGCGATTCGAAGGACGCTTATATAAACCATTCCTTGAAAAGTCGTTAGCATGGTATCCAGTACTATGTAAGCTGAATACTATTGAAAAATGTACATCACTAAGAAATACTACTCATCATTTCTGCTTGAAAAATATCTTACAATATCCTGCCATATAACCAAAATTTATAAAGCACCAGAAGCCTCACATATGTGGTACGTTTGTTGGACACTACGCTTGACGTAACACAGCATAACCCAATTGATCTATTAATGTACAGTTTCGGTAAATATGAGGCATCAGTAATTGTCTTTGGGTTTTTGTGAGAGTAGATATTTTACCACTGCAACTTATACATGATCTAAACCTGTGAGATGTTTACGAATTTTTTTCGTTTAGTAATCCAATATTAGCATTTCGGAACCACTAATTGTTAGGTTTTCTGTATCCTGACTCATTTCAACAAATAATTATTTCACAGATTGAAATCATGAGCCAATTAAAGCTAGGCCAACATGAAAAACCTCGAAGCACTGAACGGCCGTTTCGTCCTAGTATGGGACTCCTCAGCAGTGCGCATCCATGATCCCGCGCCCCGCGAGATTGGAACCCAGGACCTATCAGTCTCGCGCCGTCCAGTGCTTCCAGGTTTTCCATAGTGGTCTAGCTTCAATTGACTCATGATTTCAATCTGTGAAATTTCTAAAATCTCCACAAACCCCTTCTGAAAATAATTATTTACAGAACATATACGAGACATGTATGTATACATGAACAAGTATACAAAGTTGGGTCATTCCGTGTCTCTTGTTGCAGTTCATAAAAATTATTTTACTACTAGTTCCTCACTATCATATGATGAAATAACCGAAATAGTAGAAATGCATAAAGTAGCTTAAAACTTACATTTATGCAAATCAGTGACTATCACATTTTCAGTCTTACTAAATTTGTTATTTCGAATTATATGCTAACGAAAATTACTAATAGTCAACCGGTGGGTGGTGTTAATTTTATGTGTAAGTACCAGTACTTGTCTTTACCTATTTCTTGATAGTGTCGTTTTAATTCTACATTCTTTACTGCACTCAGCACTTTGTATTTTGTTTTTTACTATTTTAGAAGAGCTTCCTGAGGTTATTTATGATGAATTTTGTTATCCTCCTGCTGTTCAAGAGATGACATATGGTGATGAAGAAGCTTTTCGTGTACAACTAGTCGCTACAGTACTACGTAACTTGGCTGTAGATGATGGATTAAGTGCTGTCATTATCGGACGAAATCCTCAAGCCTTGCGTTTCATTTTTTTATGTATATATTCCAAACACTCGTGTCTACATCAACTTGGTTTAGAAATACTATCTTCATTGTATTTTCCAGTTCTTGGTTCACTTATACCTGCCCTCCATCGTTTGCTCACTACTTTGTTAGTTTGTCCTGATCGAATAGATCGCATCCGTGGTAAGTTGATTATCAAATTCATCTGTTATCGAGGAACATGACAAACACTTAAGTATCGATTCAACTAATATTAACACAAAAAGTAATTGAAATAGTCTGTAATGAATTTATTAGTAATGTCGAGATTTTATGAAGTAGCAGCATTCTTCATAGTTTAATAGCATGTTATTAACTATCACGTGGTTTGAAGTACTTCCTACTTCTAATTTCTCGATTAACAGGATAGATCGACAATTATGTTATCATCGCTAAAATAATCAGCTTATGGGTTGTAACTTTAAAATCTACTACCAACTTTGTTTAACTTTCAGACGTCGCAATTACGCTAAGAGTTGTTCCGATTGACTTACCAGGCTTTGGTTTTTATAAGGTCAAAACATATTCAGTCTTAACAACTTTCTCAGTTGCTTGCACAACTATCTTACTATTTCCAACTGTCAACCATCGATCATTGAAGAACAAATTCTCACCAACTATACAAAAATAATTTGTTCTCCAATAATGTAAATTACATTCAGTATTTTTGAATGGATTATTTATTTATTTGAACACATAAATGTTGGTACAAAGGGGCACCAAATGCCTATACGCTATACAATAATAATGAGAATGTCAAGAGATGGAGAAAGTACATATAAGAAAAAAGAGAACAATAACGAACAGAATTTAGTGTATGATAGTGAAATAATTACAATGAGAGAGGTAGTTCAGTTAGCAAAGGTACAACCAGAAAGAATTCCAGTTAAGGAAGTTGCGTCCATTTTTTATGGGGTTACAGCGGGATCGCCACTGGCTTCTATTCTGAGCCATATCTAACAACGTCTTAAGCCACTGTGTTGCACCATCTCTAGGACTCCAACCAAGGAGCCGTGAAGGACCGACAAAAGCCAGCACTTTGCAGCTTTTTTTCATACCACGACACTGTCATACACTGACCACCTCTCCACTTCTTCCAGCCAGTCCCAACGTTGGCAAATAATGCACGACGAGGCATTCTCTGGGACGACATTTGTAAACATGACCAAACCCCCGACAGTTACAGAGACGACGTGAATCCTTTTTAAAGATAGGAACAACTATCGACTCATTCCATGATGTTGGAACACTCTTATTGCTAAGCCTTTATAAACAACTCAGTTCCTTAACTAGAAAGTTACCATCATCTTTAAAAAGGGCCGGAGGTAAGTCACCTGGGTCTGGTGATTTATAGCGCTGCAAGAGTTGGAGTTTCTTGCGGACTTCCGCCTCGTTATGTGGATCACTCGTCAAAGGACCTGAAGGGCAGGACAGTCTGATCGATGTTGTTGGGGCAGCAGATCGGTTAAACTGCTCCTCGAAAAACTCCCTATCGTCCAAGACGTCGTTAGATGTTAGTGATTTGCAACCCATCATCCCCACAGATTGTTTCACTCACACCAGACTTTTTGTTACCATTGTCTCGGATGAGTTGAAAGAGCAACAAAATGTATTCATGTTATTACCACACAACTTTCCGCGTTTCATTTTTTCATATTATTTTTATCTTGTTTTGTGTGGTGCGTTTATTATTACCTCAATGTAAAAATGTTTTCCTTTTTGGATTAATAAAGTTTACTTGTTTTCTAATTTCGATTACTTTGAACTTACGGTATTTATATTTTATGAAATTTATGTAATCGGTATGATCAAAATTATGATTTGAAGTCAAACGATAACATAAACGAAGTACACTTTTACAATTTCGCTCTCCTTATCTTTGATTTTGTTCTCCTGATCTGTTTTTACCTGAACGTACCGCTGTCCGGTTGTGTTTGCAATAGTTCTTTTCCGTCTTCATCGAGTTATTTGTTTTTTAAAGAGTGTTCCAACGTGATTCTAAAAACTATACACTTCTCGTAAAGTTATATTTTACTCACATTTAAGCTTATATATGGTCACTGGACATCTTTTTATCATCGCAATTCATCCATTGTAGGTTTTTTTCTGTCTAGCAATCCGGGACACTTCCAATTTTTCAAAATTATCTCACCGGCATAAGAAACTCAATAAAAGAATTTTGACTTTCTTTTTAGGTTTACAGATTGTGAAAAACTTATGCTCAACACCGCTTTTCGATGTAACCTACGACAACATTCCACCTGTAGGTACTAAAAAGGTTTCTTTAACCAGGACTGGTCGTAACATAGCATTTCTGACTTCATTGCCACCTGTTACATTCTCTTCTATTGCAAGCACTTTATGTTTGCGAGATTTGCATTTAGTAGTTCTTGCAATAGATACTATTCACAGTTTAACCTGTCTCGGTCCTACTTTATGTGATCGTCTGCTTCAACAAGGATCACCACCCGAAGAAGATCCTCCCACTTCTTTAGAACTTCATATACCCCACCAGAATTCAAGCCTTCTTTCTCTACTTGTCGCTTTACTAAATTTGGAAGCTCAGGCCATGGGGTCGGACAGTCTCATTCGCGTGCGTGTTATGCAAGCATTGGGTACAGAATCTACCAATACTAAGCCTTCTGTTCCAAAACCTTCATTTTCTACCGCTTCTCCCCTTTCAAAAACAATATCTACCACCATCATGCAAACAACTTCAAGTTCTTCATGTATTCCTCCACAAAATCCCACAGTCACCTCATCCACAAATTCGACAGTTCAGCTGCCAGTTTACTGTGCTCAACCAAACCTAACTATATCGGTATGTGTTACCTTGTCATTTATGTTTATATATTGGTCATCCTACTGCAATAAATGTCTCGAAAAAATAATATCTATAAAGAAATTTTGTGTTATTATAAAAATAAAAGTAGGTAGATAGTTATTTCAACCTAATAGTCAACTATCCTATAAATATGTTGTAGGCTTAAATTTCTTGTGTATTTCCTGCTGTATACCATTGCTCTGAAATGATGTACATTCACCATTTTGTGTTAAAAAATGTATCGTTTGCCAGTTTTATATTCACTGCAACCGAGACTTTATGTATAACGTATCTTTGTTACGCAGATCTCGTTTACAAAAAAATGAGTGAATCCGTTTTTATTTTCATAAATATGAATTTTTAACTAATTATTGTACTTGAATGGTGTTAAGCTTAGAATTTTTGCTATGATTAAATTTAATCATGCTTATTCACTACTAAAAATTTATTCTATCAAGTCAATTCTCTAAATAACATACTGGAAAGATCACCGTTTAAGATATAGATTACTTTTTATTGTATCCGTTGTTCATCATCCTAGATGTCAACTGTATGTAGTAAATGTTTATCTTGAATGATTTTTTTGACAAACCTTATTTACTATCATTCTAGTAGAATATGTTTGTTTGTTTTTTATCGTCAATAGCTGAATCATCCTTCGTGTTGTACAAGTTATCATTTGAGTGTTTGTGACACATTGCAAACTCCTACTGGAAAGACTTCAATTCCTACAGCACCAAGTTATTTTCCTCACAATCTTATTGGCTGTAGTTCTCCTTCCACCACCTTTTTAGCCGCCAATCCATCGGTCAGTGGAGTCCAAAATGCAGATTCTTCTCGTGTAAATAAACGTGATTTGCTAGTTAGAAATTGTCTTCCAGTCATTACTACTCCTAGAGCTAACCTTTCTATGCGTGAATTTGGTACTGTTGCATCTTCAACGCAACAAGGTTCAGGGTCTTCATCTACTAGCAAACCAGGTTTATCTGTGATACAGTCGTCACACATAACATCAACTATGAATTCTGCTACTGTAAATACTAGTATCTCATCTACAAATGATCTCATGAGTAAAGTGTGTTTACCTCAAAAGTTATCTAGTACACCGGCACTCAACACACCTACTATTAACTCAGAAATTCAAAAACATGTAAATCCACCATCAAAGCCCCTTGCTACTGAAAATGGTATACCTCAACTTGATAGACGTGAATTCATGTTTGAATGGCTTAAAAGTAATTATGCTGTACATAATCACTCTAGCATTCCGCGTATTCAAATATATAATGAATATCAAAAAGCACATCTACAACGATTCAAAAATATTGTTGCAATTTCGCCTGTTGACTTCCATTCACAAATTAAGTAAGTAATCTGTTCAATTTAGATGAAACATTTTGTTTCACTAATGTATTTATTACTGCATTAGAATATTTATATGTCATTATTCTCACATCATTTGATTCTAGTTAATTTATCTTCTTCCACTGTAGAACTATATTTCCTGGAGTAGGTCAGGTGAAAGTACAAGTACCGGGAGGAAGTGTAGAAATTCACTACAACAACTTAAAACATGTTAATGCTCCTGAACCTGAAAGTCAACAAGGTAAGTGGTATAATCAATTCACATTTTTTTAGGCATAAATGATATTATGGCATCTGTTTTAAGTCCCACCAAAATTGAATCCATGTGTCATGAATCGCGTTCTCCAAAAACCAAAGTTAGTTTTATTTTGTTTATCATTTACTTAAGATATATTTTATCTTTTGCATCATAATTGTTTCATATTTGTTAAGAATTAAATACCTATTTATAGATTCCCACTTAAAAACTGATTGCTTTTTGTAATTATTATTGTGATCGCAATTTTGTAGAAGTATCTAGTTTACTCCTAACTTCTTGATTATAAAAATAAAACTGGGAGAGTTACTGAGATACGGAATCTGGTATTTCAAATGTTTTTATTAGCTAATTGATTAAAACCAGGTTTTATATGCCCCAAGTAAAGTGAAATCAAGTTTAATAAAATATTCAAATTATTTGGAGAAATTTAGGCTAATACCTCAGATATAACTTTAAAAAAACACCCTAAAATATTTAGTGTCCTGAGACGGTGGCCTAATAGTCAAAGCATTATAGGGTCAAGAATCTCAACTCCACCACCTACTTCGATTTAGGCTCTGTGATCCTTGTAAAATAAATGTAGCTTAGAGCTACATGCACTTGGTTACCAAGTGTCATGTTATTTAATTAGCTCGTTTTTCCATTTATTAACGTGTATCTGTGAAACAGTACGATCGTATTTTGATAGAATCTCATAAATGAAGGTAACGATTTTTTAGTCTAATGTACTAAAAACTTTTCATCTTTATACTTTTGTAGTGCCGTAAAAGACCGGCAACTGGGGCCTTTCTTCATCCTGCATCTCCTAAACTGGCTTCAAAAAATGAGGATCTGCAAAACCAGGTACTTAAAAGTTCACAAATTGATGTTTGTGATTTGAATGGCCATCTTGAATCCCCAAAATTAACTAATGGACAGTTAGTTTGTCCTTTAAATGGTTTATCTCGTGATACTACAGACGTACTCAACATGACCACAAGGTAAGTTGTCGAGAAATTATTATTTTTTTAAAAGACAAACATTCGTACAAGGAGGCACCAAATCGATATACGCCACATAAATCATCCGATTTGCGTGAGGGATGGTACAATGGGGTACTAAATACATATGCGCCACAATAACAACGAGGCCAGTAGCAGTTATCATTGATATGTGCGAGGGCTGGGATACTGCCCGAGTGCCCAAACTGAAGCAGCTGGTTTTATTAGGAGGCCACACCCGGAGCCTTTAACCTAAAGGTCTAATCCACAAGGCGACGGAGCAACGCAGGGAGACTCAGTCCCATGGTAGCCGGTGATCAACAACAATAGGTTCATACGCCATTTGTTTCCTTGTGATCCTGAAGCCCATGTGCACTATTGGTTTAAAATCAAGGTCTCCCAACTCCCGTAGGTGAATCTTCCATATCCATCAACCCGGTTAAAATGCCAGACATTCGCTTTTCGTTCTCTTGATTTCGTAAAAAACACCCCCACCACGAGAAGGCAGTGGGCAGGACTTCCATGGCAGTGGTTGTATGCACGTGACCATGTGAGGGTATTTGGAGGCTTATCGAGAAATATAGTTTTCAAATTCTTTTGGTTATGCTGGAAATTGTGTGGCGCACATATGTCTGGTGCCCCCTTGTACCAATATTTATATGTTCAAATAAATAAATAAAATTCTGAAAATTCTTTATCAGTAATATTGAAAATCGTATGCATCTGTGCAACAGTCTCGTTTGTTGCACTTTTTGGAAGCGTAAAGATAAGGTCCTCGTTTTCAGTTCCTACTTTATATGATGTCGCAGTATTCTTTGTGTTCTGTACCGTATTTTATGGAAGTTACTTAAGTGGTTGTAAAAAATCTAGTTAGATTCTGACGTCCATAATATGAGGGCACATGACATGACATTTTCGAATGTCCTAGCCAGTCAGTCAGCTACAACGTAGGACCAGGCATATATATGCATCGGTTCAAGTTGCCATACCTCATTAACACAACAAGATGGACACCGAATTCATAAAAGTAGTTAATTCAGAGGTGGTAATATATAAAAGAAAGATTGCAATAAGGATATAGTACAGGAAGAAAGAATTAGTTCGTAGAAAGATATGAAGCGATTTTAATCACTTAGTTTAAGGGAAGACACAGAGTGTATACACCGACGCCATTGTGACCAATTCTGAGGCATGTCACCAAGAGTCTCCAACCATTGGTTACGATAGTCTCGCGGACCCCAACCAAGTAGTCTGTATCTCCCAACATGGCTCAAACCAGAAGTAAGTGACTTCAAGCACTGATGCCACGTTCTGTTTTGGCCGCCCCTAACTTTCTTCCAATCATCTCGAACACCTGTCAGCGTTGCACATCGTGGTAATCGGTGTTCGGTCATACGTAACACGTGGCCCAACCATCTCAGTCGATGAAGTTTCACAACCTCATCAACTGATTTACCATCATTTTCTAACACCCTGCGTCTAACCTTCCTATTACTCTTACCCGGTGATCCCAGCAGATGCCAGCAATATTTCTAAGGCATCTGTGGTCAAATACTAGTAGCTTACGAGTGTCTTCTACTCTTAATGGCCCTGTTTCGCTGCTGTAAATTAAAACAGAACAGACTGCCGCACAGTATACTCGTCCTTTTGTTAATAGACGGATATCTCGCCTTCGCCAAAGGTGACGTAAGTTGGCAAAAGCCAAGCGAGCTTTTCGAATCCGTGCTGAGATGTCGTCAGACACCAACCCATTAGGGCTGATCAGACCTCCAAGATAAGTGAAGTTGTCAACGCGTTCGACTACTTCACTCCCTATCCTTAGTTCAGGTGTTGACGCAGTCCAGTCCTGAAGCAACAACTTGCATTTACAGGGAAGGAAGCGCATTCCAAATATTCTGGCATTGTTGCTTAGTACTACCAAAAAATTCTGCATTGTATCAGCGTCTTCACCAAACAGGACTATGTCATCTGCGTATTCTAAGTCGATAAGTGGACCTCCTGGAAGGAGATCAATACCCGAGAATTCAGTCGACGAGAATGTTATTTCCATCTCTGTGCTAATGTAGTATGGCAACTCGAACTGATTTACGTACGTACGAAGTTCTACGTTGTTACTGACTGACAGACTATTTCCATCAGTAGGTCTATTATGAAGTTAAACAACAATGGAGAAAGTGGATAGCCTTGACGGACACTACTTGAAGTTGCAAAAGCAGATGACAGTTCGCCATAAGCTCTGACTCGACTAGTAGTCTTCGAGCAAAGAGCCTTCACAAGGTTTATATACTTCTGAGGTACGCATTTCAATGACACACTGCCACAGGATCTCGCGGTATACGGAGTCAAATGCTGCTTTCAAGTCAAGAAAGACCACCATTGTCGGACGCCGATAAGTATGCCTGTGTTCCAGAACCTGACGAATGGTGAATATGTGGTCGATGCAGCCACGACCAGGTCTGAAGCCAGCTTGATTCTCTCGTGTTTGCAGTTCATGAGTCTTAGTTGGGCGTCCGATAATTATCGAGGCTAGTATTTTAGATACTATATTAGTTAAACTAATCCCTCTATGGTTGTCACAGGCTGATTTTAACCTTCTCTTATATATTGGGACGATAAGTGATTGTGACCAGTCAGATGGGATAACGTCTAACTTCCGGATCTTAGCTAAAATATTAGTCAACCTAATCGCTAAAATTGGACCACCATCCTTAAAGACCTCTGGGACCAATCCATCTGGACCAGCTGCCCTTCCTCGTTTCAGATTAGTTATAGCCTTTTGAACTTCGGCTAGGATTGGAGGACCTACTTCAATGTTCCATTCACACTGTCTGGGAATAGAGGGTAGTTGTAGAGTAGCTGAAGGCCAGTTGAACTGTTCTCTGAAATGTTCCGCCCATCGTTCTAAACGTCTGGACTGAGAGCAGATGACGGTGTCGTCTTTTTCCGAAATAGTCTGACTTACACTTGACTTATTAATTCCAGTTTCTTTTATTAGTCTGTAGAGCTGTCTTGTGTTCCCTATAGCCGCCTTTTCCATCTCTTTCGTTGCCCACCACTGCTCACAGTCGTTCCTTAGACTTTTGCTTAACCTAGATCTGATTTGTTTTCGCTCTTCATCGTGTTCAGAGCCTGATGGGATGAGTTTACGAGAACCCATCAGTGCAATAGACCTTGAGGAAATCCATTGGTTCTTTGTAACCCTGTGGTTTAAATCATTGATAGATTTCACTACTGTTTCCACAGATGTTTGTATAGCTTTCCAAGCAACGTCTGGGTCAACCACGTTTCCAAAACTACCTAATTGTGAACTCAGTTGTTCCTGGAACCTACTTTTGGCTTTCTCGCTACTCAATTCAATTATAATAGGTCTTTTTAGTGTGGCTTTTTTGCGTCCAGTGAGGCGCAAGCAGATGCTTGCCCGTATTAGGGCATGATTGGAGTCCAAGCAGGTACACCGGAATGAGCGACAATCTTCTACCGACCCTCTCCAACAATGACTGATGGCAATATGGTCTATTTGAGTCCATCGTTAGTTTGGTGTAGGGGATCGCCATGTTAGACGATGCTTCTCCTTATGCTTAAAATTTGTTTGCTAAAAATAAACGATTGTCTGAACATAGTTGCAACAGACGATCACCATTACCTGTTCGCTGTGCCGGAATACTAAAATACCCACCTAAATGCCTTTCTGTTTGGCTTAAACTACGTATCTGGGCATTAAAGTCACCTGCTACGAGTACTATGTTTGAACTGTTAGCTTTCTGTAAAATTCATCTTCCACTTCATCTGATCTGCAGTCGGTGGGAGCGTAGGCAGAAACGACGAGAAGACAATGACGTGTGTCCCTATCCTTCCGAGTTCTTACGGGGCCGCTTAGCTGAACAGCACATAGACGACTGTTAACGGGAATCCACTCTAAGTGTTTTAGCCGAAGTTGTTAGATTACTTGTGATTACACTACTTCCAGATATTCTTCCTAATTTAAACACAGAAAGAATATATGCTTCTCTATCTTTATTTATTTATAACACGGTGCAAAATTTTGCACTCTAATGTACTAGATTTCCAATTCTACATATCCATGTATATATATATCCTCTTGACCGATCCGCTTTGTCCTAGACTTCATAATGGATCACCTCTTAGGAAGCTGAATGCTTCATTAAATACAAATGAAGATGGTTGTGTTCAAAAGAAGTGTACAACGCCTGTGCGAGCAACAGCAGTGGTATCCTTACCCGACTCCAAGATTATGATCGTTCCTGTCTTTACTACTTATGGTATGGGCCATAATTTGACACTCAACGGAACTCCAACTAGCGAAGTTCCCATGATGATCAAAATGCAAACCTCTGAGAACCACGAAATTAATAAAGCTAACAACACTATTCCGATTTGTTCTAACATTGACCATACTACAACTATTTCTAAAACTAAAGTCAACGTCATCACGTCTTCCTTAACACCGAACAGCATATCATCTACTTCATCGGATCGTAGCTGCAAACTGGCAAAGCAATTAGATGACTCAATTATTTCAGGAAATTATACAAACAGGGTTTCCACTGATCGTGGTAAATGTGTACAATTATTCTGTATGTGGGATAAATGTATGCAAACATTTTCAGAGTCTGTTGAACTTTGCAGGCACTTTCAAAATATTCATTACAAATCTATTCAAAATTCAGATCAAGTAAGTCCCTGAGTCCCTAAATCATCGTTTACGCGTTGCTATCACTTGTATTAATTTGTGTTGTTTTAATATATCTGACTTCTCATCATTCATTTGAAAGTATTTGTAGCCAGAGTACTGTCGACTTCGTTAATGTGAATTAAAATAGATTCACGTTTTTTGTTAATCAGTCATGAACCTTGTAGAACCTGACACACGTTCATCGATTCAAGTTGCCACAGCACATCAACATAATAAATGGCCAGATTGGTATTAATAATTATAGTATCAGTGTTAGTAGAAACATTTAATCAAAGAAAAGTGATTAAAAGAGGAAGTAATAATCCACGAAATAAAAAAGTCCTAAAATAATTAAGAATCCAAAGGGGAGAAACGTAAATGCATCTGCACCATGGCGAACAATGTCTTTAACCACTAGTTGCAATAATCGCGCGAACCACAACCAGGTAATCTGCACCTACCTACATTGTTCACTTCAACGACTGGTGACTTCGTTGGTTAATATGACGTTTTGATTCGACCTCCTCTAGTTTTATTTCAATCTATATACCAGCAATCTTCGAGTGTCTATGTAGGTGGCGGTTAAACGTGCGTAATACATCTCCTAACCACCTCAGTTGATGGAGGTTCATTACTTTGTCGGTCAACTTGCCATCCCAAACGAGTACCTTGGCTCCAACATCCGCATTACTCACTCGGTAGTCTCAACATACAGGTCCAATGCCTCGAAGGTCTCTACCATCAAATACTAGTAACCTACAAATATCCTCTATTTTTATGGGCCACATATCATAAACAGAGCCAACCGCTGCACAATATACTCGTCCTTTGTTTGGCAGACGGATATCTCGCCTACGCCACGGGTGGCGCAAGTTGACGAAATCAGCCGATCTTTCTAAATCTGTCCTGAAATTTCATCAGACACCAACCCATTTGGATTAATGAAACCCAATATAAGTGAAGTGGCCAGTGTACTCAACTTCTTCACTTCCTATATTTAGTTCAGGCGTTGCCAGACTAGTCCTGAAGCTGCATTTTGAGGAAGAGGAATACATTGTAATCATCGTTGCACTGTTTCTCAAGATGATTGAAAAATTGTATTTTGCCGGCGCCTTCATCAAACCCGGCTATTTCATCTGCGTATTGCAAGTCAACAAATGAATCTCCTGTTAGGTAATCAATCTCTGGAAAGTCGTATTATAAGAGCGTTTTCTCTAAAAGGATATCTGTGACAAAATTACATAAAATTGGGGGAGTTCAACAATCTCGACGAACACTTTTTGTATCTTAGAGGGAATATGCAACTCATTCTATTCGTCAAGTAACGATTTATTCACCATATGTCTGTAGATTTTTGTTTGCAGGAAAACTCGATTTATTACATCTTTATATAATATACACTAGTAATCGAAATTTTTTAGTTTTCGTCCGTTATACTATCAACTTAGTTTTTAAAACTAATTGCTTAGAATCAAAAATTTCCCAGTTAGATAGATAAATAGATAGATAGATAGATAGATAGATAGATAGATAGATAGATAGATAGATAGATAGATAGATAGATAGATAGATAGATAGATAGATAGATAGATAGATAGATAGATAGATAGATAGATAGATAGATAGATAGATAGATAGATAGATAGATAGATAGATAGATAGATAGATAGATAGATAGATAGATAGATAGATAGATAGATAGATAGATAGATAGATAGATAGATAGATAGATAGATAGATAGATAGATAGATAGATAGATAGATAGATAGATAGATAGATAGATAGATAGATAGATAGATAGATAGATAGATAGATAGATAGATAGATAGATAGATAGATAGATAGATAGATAGATAGATAGATAGATAGATAGATAGATAGATAGATAGATAGATAGATAGATAGATAGATAGATAGATAGATAGATAGATAGATAGATAGATAGATAGATAGATAGATAGATAGATAGATAGATAGATAGATAGATAGATAGATAGATAGATAGATAGATAGATAGATAGATAGATAGATAGATAGATAGATAGATAGATAGATAGATAGATAGATAGATAGATAGATAGATAGATAGATAGATAGATAGATAGATAGATAGATAGATAGATAGATAGATAGATAGATAGATAGATAGATAGATAGATAGAGAATCACTAATAATTTTATTTTGGTTTTCATTTTGCAGATAAAATGTGTTTGGGGGAACTGTTCTGAAGTGATATCTGGTCCCAGTTTTGACATACTGATGGATCATTTACGTGCTAAACACAACATTCAATTACCTGTCAGTATGGAATCTTCATCGAATGGTTTATCAACTAATGATAATGTTATATCTTCTGCAGTTAATAAAAATCAACCGATTTATACTCCAGTGAATTCCGAAACACTTTCAGAAAAAAATCCAAGTCATTCTTCATGTCAAATCGAAAAGCCGTTCGTGTATGATGAATTACAATTGTCGAATATTCTATCAGAAGAGTGTCGTAGAGCTCTGACTGGAGGAATTCCTAATCCACCTTTCGCACCTACACCAGTTCATGAAGGGCCTGTAACTAAGCACCTCCGACTTACTGCGGCTCTAGCTTTAAGAAATTTATTACAATATAGTGATGTTGCACGACGGTACGTAGTTTTAACAAACTGCTTTTTATCATTCACTGTAGTAAAAGGGATATGTCGTATTACTACATATTCATGTATCAAGTGTTCGTTAATAATATATATTAGTAATCACTGTAGCATTCCTTTTATGTGAAGCAAATTTTAGTTGTAGTGTGTCAGATAAAGTGGATTTTTATTTATAACATCTATGTTAGGTGGTCAGAAGTAGTTGACTAGAAACCGTGGACCTAGATTTTTTACTAGTTGGCACACATCAAGACGTATCTACAATCTTGAGGGAATTAATACTCCTTGTAGGATCGCATCATCCAGCTTAAGTACTCTTAAATTCTTCACTTATTCTCGATTGTGTTTATAAGTTTGGTAGTTTGTAACATTATTTATGTAAACTATTTTCAAGTTGGATAAGCTACACAAATATCCTACCCCTTAACATTGCGTGTTTTACAAATATTGGTTCCTTGATTGATTACGATTAATTCTTTAACCAGTATGATATGTACTGGCTTAAACGGACTTTTCACTTTTTACATTTTTCTATACATTTTAAAGAAGGTAACTACGTAGTGTATATATATATATATATATATATATATATATATTCCGTTTGACAAAAATTTATCATTTGAATGATCCGTCAAACAAAATTTGTGAATCAAAGGCTATTTCGCAACCTCGTGTATTTTTTTACATTAAATGTTCAACATATCTTAATTTGATCACAGTTTTATTTTCATAAAGTAACAAAAAGAAAACTCAAATATTTCAATATTAACATACACTCATCTCTTAAAGATGTGGGAATGGTAAATCAATTGATAAGACTGTAAAGCATATACCAGCTGCTCCCTAATCATATACGCTAGGTTCGTTAATATTCAGTAGGTTGGAAGAAGGCTACTAGCGACTAAATTACGTTTCAGCCCATAAATTTGTACGATTATCGTAATATTTGATTTGGAGACTTTCTCCGCGATGTTATTCGTTCTCTCCGATTTACATTCTATAGTTTACTTGCTTCATGATATTTAACAATTTTATTTCGACCCTCACTTTTAAGTTCCTTAATTTTTCTTTTTTTACTGTGTTGATGTTCAGTAATAGCAAATTGGACTAATTAATATTTGTCTTAAATCCCACGTTATCTATGATTGGTTAGGTAAATGTAAAACTTATACGAAACATATTTTTACTGTATACTTTTTAGTAATTGTTTATCTGATATCAATTTTTGATGTAAATTACTATTAAATAAAGTAATCATTTTTTCGTAGTTAATGTTACTAACTATTTGGTTCATTTGTCTGATTAGATTGATTCAATGTTTATATTTTTCTGTATCTTAATTTTAGTTATGTAAGTTCTTGTGAGAATCTTTTATGTGATTTAGCCTTTGCTAATCTTGAATCTTCTCCGACAATTTTTGAGTGCCTCACACTATTATCCAGTTCGTTTGATGAAAATACACCAACAACATCAACATCGACAACTCAGTATTGTATAGATGAGAAGCATATTTTCTGAGTATCACTAGAAACACAAAATTAATCCTGCATTTAATCAATAACAGTAACAACTACCTATACACAAAAAATAGTACAAACTCAACCTTTTTTAGTAAATCATAATTGTTTCATTTATACACTGCTCAAGTTTTATTCTGTTTATTTAAAATTGACTACCGGTTTAACTAAATTCATGCAATTATATTTTCAAATTTTATCAATAAGTAACTATTCCGTTATACAAAAGTGTATGCCTGATTGTACACTGTGCATAATCTTTTAATTTTGAGCTAATGTTGTATTCGGTGACAAGTGCCAAAGGTTCCTTATGTGAATATTTCTTTCTCTCTTTTCTTCATAATTGTATTTTCTATGAACAGCTGAAACTCTCCCTTCCTTCCTCTCTCAATATGTCGCTTTATATCCACATTTTTTTGGCAGTTTTAGACTGTTTCTCATTGATTAACAAATGATGTGCTCATGTATATCTATGTAAATAACTTACCGAATACTTTCTTTTTTATTCTGTTCTTATCAGTTATTACTATTAGGCGATATATTTATTATCTGCTGCACTGTGATGGGCTTGTGTTTCTATAATGATAATACAATCATTATTATTACTATTATTATCAATAATGTTATTTTGTCACACCACACATATTATATATATGTACAGGCTAGTTTTTACTTCGTTCTCTTTTTTGTTTGGAGTGCATGAATTTTGCATTTTTTTTGAGGAAATAAACTCTTATTCTTACTGATTGTCTTCCTTTGTTCGCTTCATCACTGAAGTTATGTTCTACCTTTATTTCGATCAGCTTCAAGACTTTCAGTGGTATAGTCGTTTTCGCGTATAATTTTTAAGTGATAAGACAAACTTGTAGTAGCAGTCAGTGTTTTTAACCCGTGAGACGACAAATATCTTATTATGATGTTTGTATTTCCCAATGATTGATAAACAAAATGAGTAAAAAATAACTCAAATCATCGAGTTTTAACTCGGTTTGATGTTTGAAAACACGAATAATTGTATTTGTTAATATCCCATGTTAAAGTTATATGATAGTAATAACTGACAATAATAGTAGATTTATTTAGTAATATAAGTTTTGGTACAGTAAATAATCCTCAGCAAAAGTTGTACGATGCTACAATAATAAATATCCCTTTAGCATACATTCAAATTGTAATTATTTAAAACGAATTTTAAAAATGTTTTTATTTGTCAATATCTTACATCTACCAGTTCAGCTGCTACAATTATTTCTTTCCATCCATTTTTTATAAGATATTCGAATCTTAATATTTCAAAGGATAGATAAAAAGAAAAACGTACCAAGGGCTGGAGTGTTTCGGTCTTCTGCCAGTATACTGCCTTGCAATAATTTGTACGCCTTTCGTAATGAGTAAACATGGTTAATGTTTACGATTATTCAGTTAAAAAAAATCTTTAAAAAAGTAGTTTGATTGCATTATTTACATAATTGGAAATTAATTGGGCCAAACATCCGATAATGCAGACTATTCATGCATTAAAAATTTAAGATTTTTCTGTGAATGATCACATTTGAATCCAAATCAATATATAAGGATAACCATCCTTTCTTGTAAATTGAATTAGCGCAAATCTATAACTTTTTGCTCATTCAGTGGGCGTGCTGCATGCAAGAGTGTAATTTTCGCTGGGGTTATACATATTTAGATTGATATCATGAATGGATCAATGTTAGACCCAGAACCTTCAAGCCCCACATGTGGGACCATAGATACGCACTTTTGAGGATCCCATACTAGTACAAAATAACCCTCCAGGTTTTCAATGGTGGTGTAACATAGATCCATTCATGGTATCAATCTAAACTCAATAATCTTCACAACCCTATACTGACTATAAATATTTACTTCAGTCAGTCAGTCAGCTACAACGTAGGACCAGGCACATATGTGCATCGGTCCAGGTTGCCATACCGCATCAGCACAAGATGAACACCGGATTCATAGCAGTGGTTAGGTCAAAGGTAGTAATATGTAAGAGAAAGATTACATATAGAGATATAGTACAAGAAGAAAGAAAGATATGAAGCGATTTTAATCTCTTAGTTTAAGGGAAGACAGGGAGTGTACACACCGGCGCCATTGTGATCGATTCTGAGTCATGTCACCAAGAGTCTCCAACCATTGGTTACGATAGTCACGCGGACCCCAACCAAGTAGTCTGCATCTACCAACATGGTTCAGACTAGAAGTTAGTGACTTCAAGCACTGATGACGGATATCTCGCCTTCTCCATAGGTGACGCAAGTTGGCAAAAGCTAATCGAGCTTTTCGAATCCGTGCTGAGATTTCGTCCGATACCAGCCCATTAGGGCTGATCAGACTTCCAAGATAAGTGAAGTTGTCAACGCGTTTTACTTAAACCTCATGAGTATGGGTTTTGTTCCATTTTTATCTTTCCCACTCGAAATATTCAAACCAAATTTGCTTCTAACAACTCATTATCGTTAATGTAGTTCATGATACTGTTCAGTACAAATAAGCGTTTTTATATCTTCATCTAATTTGTTTCCTCTTTTGTTTAATTTCTGTATTCATTAATTTTTGACGAGCGACGTGTGAATATACCACTGATTTTTTCTTCTGTCCGTAGCTGCTATCTTGACGTGGTGGTCGGGCTTGCCTATCGTGATGACCCAACGAAGCTATATTAACTGGAATATATATTCCTGTAGGTTCTACCATGCCAGTCAGGTCGATTGCAGAACGGTAAGGCTAAAAGCAGCAACTCACAGTTTGAGGGCGAAGTCGTACTGCTGACTGTAGAGTAGTGTGACAGTAGTAAGGTGTTTCCCTCGGGTAACCAGCATCTGCAGCGACTCTGCCTTCTCACAAGGAAGGAGGAGGTTAGAAAAGGTCGACCCTAAAAATATCACACCTCACCTTACCTCACGGATCTCCGTCTCCGGCGGTAAGGCCATTTATAGAGTGGAGGTAACACGTTATAAACTTCCCACAAAACGGCCGTGCGCGACCGGCCTCAAGCAGTTGTCCCTTGGGCCCTGCGGTTACGCTCCTAGGTCGTTAGGACCAACGCTAATCTGAATTCCTCAGGTTCTCCAAGAAATACCCTTCCACGGTGTGGACAGCCGGGAAGTGACATCAGCCCTCATACCCGTAACAGCAAATGAGACCAAGGTTTTCACACTCAAATCCTTCATACACCTAATAACTCTCTTATCTCCACGACTAACCCTTCTCGCGTTCCTTTACCACCTCGCGCCGCTAATGCAAACGATTAAAGTACGCGGAACATTATTCCTGGTCTCCTAAAACTACTCTCTAAACCACACGTAGGAGCTTTTAACGTCCGAACAATATGCCACATACGACAACAGACTTCCTTAGCTAGGACTTTAGAATCTCGCGCCATCGATGTGTGCTGCATCTCCGAAACGCGCATACAGGACTCGACTAGTGTCATTTATTTGACCTCACCATGTCAAGATAAAGACGCATCTCGTTTCACGCTTCGTGTATCTGGAAGCCCTGACGCTGCTTCCCGTGGGCTCGCTGGTGTATGTATAGCATTGAGTCCTAGGGTAGAACCAGCTCTCTTGGACTGGAGAAATTCGAACACTTCACTTCTATCTGAAGTTTGTGCTGATGATGTTCAGAAGAACGATGAAAGCTCCACGGCCAAACCATCCAGCTCAGAAAGCAAAACTCCATCAAAATCACCCACCTGAGCTACAAATCTTCTCCACCAGCTCTGATGTAGTAATAGTGGCTGGTGACTTTAATGCCCAAGTAGGTAAACTAAGCGGAAGGGAAGGACACCTGAGTGGATCTTGTAGCGTCGTAGCTCAAAGAACAGATAATGGTGACCGTCTGTTTCAGCTATGCTCAGATAACCGCCTGTTCCTTGCAAATACTAACTTTAAGCATAAAGAAAAACACCTTTTGACATGGCGACCCCCGAATTCGTCCCAAATTTGGACTCAAATAGATCACATCGCTATCAACCACCGATGGAGGGGCCCGATAGAAGGCTATCACTCATTCTGGAGCACATGCTTAGATTCAAATCATGCTCTAGTGCGAGCGCGTATCTGTCTGCGTCTTACTGGACGTAGGAAAGACGCTGCAAGGAAACCTCTTAGGGTCCTACTTAATGATAGCCAGGCTAAGAATACATTTCACGAACAACAAGAAAAACAGTTTGACAGCCATGTAAATGATGCCCACCCTGAGGCAGCGTGGAACGATATTCGAAAAGCTGTGGAAACAGCAGTGATATCCGCTAATAAGGTAAACCATAATGTTAGTGGGAAACACTGGATCTCAGTAGCATCTGCCGCACTGATAGATGCCCGAAAATCCATCTCACCTGGCTCTGAACATGACGAAGAGCGGAGACAGCTTAAGTGCAGGATGATAATAAACCCACGCAACGATCGTGAACAGTGGTGGGTAGCGAAGGCAGGAGAGATGGAAAAGGCAGCTGCAATAGGTGACATCAGACAACTGTTCAGACTTGTCATGGAAACCGGTATTATGGATCTAACTGTTAGCGAAACTATCTCGGAAAAAGATGGATATGTTATTGATTCTCAATCCAGGAGACTGGATTGATCGGCAGAACACTTTAGGGATCAGTTCAACTGGCCTTCAGCCACACTTCGGTTTCCCACGATCTCCAGTCAACCTGAATGGCAAATTAGTGTAGGTCCTCCGTCTCTTTACGAAGTTGAAAAAGACATAGGAAATCTGAAGCGAAGGAGAGCAGCAGGGCCTGACAGATTCACCCCTGAGATTTTTAAGGATGGTGGTCCAGTATTAGCAGTGAGATTAACTGAGGTCTTAGGTAGAATTTGGGAACTGGACGTGATCCCATCTGACTGGTCTCAATAACTGATTGTGCCAGTCTATAAGGAAGGACAAAAGTCCTCTTGTGACAATCACTGAGGAATCAGTTTGACTGATATAGTGTCTAAAATATTAGCTTCAATAATACTTCGACGCCTAAATAAAGCTCGTGAAGAACAGACTAGAGAAAATCAGGCTGGTTTACGACCTGGACGTGGCTGCATAGACCAGGTATTCACACTAGGTCAGGTTCTAGAACACAAACACACATTCAGAAGTCCTACAACAGTGGTATTTCTCAACCTTGAGGCGGCATTTGACTCTGTTGATCGTGAGGTTCTATGGCAGTGTTTGTCACTGAAAGGAGTACTAAAGAATACATTAACATTATAGAGGCTTTCTACTCGAACACAACTGGTAGAGTGAGAGCTTATGGCGAACTGTCATCAGAATTGATTACCTTAAGTGGTGTTTGTCAGGGCTGCCCACTCTCTCCATTCTTGTTCAACTTTGTCGTCGACGTACTTTTAGAGATTACACTTTCCTCGTCTAGATTTCCAGGAGTTGAACTTCAACCGGGAGGTTCACTTGTTGACTTAGAATATGCCGATGACAGTTCTATTTGATAAAGACGCTGACAAAATACAGTCTTCTGACTACTCTAAGCAACAATGCAAGCATGTTCGGCATGCAATTCTCTCCCTCGAAATGCAAAATGTTGCTTCAGGATTGGGTTGCATCGACACCTGAACTAATGATAGGGAGTGGAGTAGTTGAGCGTGTCGACCTTTCACTTATCTGAGAAGTCTTATCAGCCCTTGTGGACTGGTATGTGGTGGAATCTCAGCACGGATACAGAAGGCTCGACTAGCTTTTGCCAACTTGCATCATTTATGGCGTAGGTGAGATATCCGTCTACCAACCAAAGGACGTGTTTACTGCGCAGCAGTTCGTTCCGTCCTACTTTATGGCAGTGAAACATGGCCGGTAAGAGTAGAGGATATTCGTAGGTTACTAGTATTTGATCATAGGTGTCTTCGAAACATTGCTCGTATATCCTGGGACCATAGAGTAATTAATGCAGTTGTTAGGAAACGGGTTGTAGGTAAGGATGGCAAACCAATTGATGACGTAGTGAAACTTCATCAGTGGGGATGGCTGGGACATGTGTTACGTATGCCCAACCACGGACCGCCCTGACGTGCGATGTTTTTATGGTGTAACGAATATTCGGATTACTGTGATTATCATCTACTTCTAGTATGTTACACAATTCTAAAACTAATTTACCTCAACGATTATTTCTACGTTTATGTATAATGCTTTGATCCAGACATATAAGTGTTAGAGTTATTACTGACATTTCAAACTGGTATATGAATAGTTAGAACTGGAATTTTATACCATTGTGATCATAGCAATCAATGAAGATGGATACTGTTCAAGAATTTTGAAAGAAATCACGAATAATTCTCCTATATTCATTATTCTATGATTTTCTAGATTATGTTTATCTATCATGAAAAATATTTTCTATCTACTCTAATCTCTACAAACTACTTCAA